CGTATATCGCATAGAAACGGCTTCTTCAAATTAAGCATGCTATTAAATTAATGGAAGCAACTATGAGTGCAGATAATAATTATATTATTCGTAAAGATGCAATTCGTTTAAAATTCTTAATGATTACAGAAGAAGAATGGAAAGTTCTTGAGGAATTAACTATAATTTTGGCCTCTTTTGCTGAGATTACACAATTGCTAGGAGGTAGTAATTATACTACACTTAGTTTTATATGGCCAGCAATCACCACCCTTACTAGAAATTGTACACCATTGTCAATGAGTATAAGTAATGAAGAGCTTGATTTGACAAATATGTTAACTATTTTTGATGAGGAGGAAGAGAATATAGTCGATATAGATGAAGAATTAGAAATAATTATTACGGCTAATGGAGGTAAGTTTAAACTTAGTCAACCTCAAAATACGGATAACCTAGTAGAAAAAGTAAAGGAGAATTTATATAAAGCATTAGACCATTATTGGGACACACCTCTTGATTGTTCTTTAATTGCAATGTTACTTGATCCACGTTGTAAGTCAATGAAAAAATTAAATAGTTGGGAACGTGATAAGGCTATTGATCTTTTGCGAGAAAAATATGATTTACTTAGTATTAGAAATGAAAGTATTACTAACTTGGTGAATATAGAGCAAAATGATAATCAAATGAGCCTTTTTTCAATAATGTTTGGGTCAGATATAATATCAACATCAGATAAAAATGAAGTAGACAAATATCTTAAAGTAGATCAAATGTCAATTACAACTAATCCACTTAATTGGTGGAAAGATGTTCAAGAAAAATTTCTGATCCTTGCCAATTTGGCAAGAAAATACTTGGCTATACCTTCCACATCAACCCCCAGTGAATACTTATTTTCGAGTGTGGGTAATTTAATGACAGCAAAACGTACATCAATTAACACTGACTTATTTGAAAGAATTCTTTTTCTTAAACAAAATATCGGTATTCTGGGTACTATATTTGAGTCACAGTTGAAATAATATTCATTGTGAGGAGCACCAAGCACTATCCTTACTATTTTTCTGAAACAATATTATATTATATATTTTTAGTAAAGCTCCACATTATGATATTACCATTATATCTTATTAGTATTATTTTATATATATAACTTAGAATAATATTAAATTTTGTGGATATGAAAAAATACTGTATACTGTATATTTATTAGCTATTAGATCTAGTAAACATAATAAATATATAACGAATATTGTCTTATCTAGTAAATATATAACGAATTTGTCATTTAAAATATATACTAATAACATAAAGCTATAATACGATACCTTTTGATGTCTAAATAACTACTCTACTCTATTTGGGTTCGAACATATTAGGTAAAGCTACACCAAATAAATTTTTATAATAATAATTTTTTCTTGTTATCATATTAAACCCTGATCCTGAGTGAGCAAAAGGGTAAAAATATCATTAATAATCGAAAATACTCCTATATAGTTAAATTTAGTGATTAACTTGTGATCCAACAATATCAGTATCATTATTTAAAACCCGAATTAAAGTCATAGTATAAAATAAAAAAATAAAACAATAAAAATAAAAATAAGAAAAACAGAAAATACTTAACTTCATATTTGCCTGGGAATTCTTGATTTTCGTACAAGAATTAAGTTTAAGCTCTAATGACTTGAACTAAGTCTTCTATACTTCAATCGAAACTCAAGTAATAAAAAAAAAGTTCCTTCTAATCTGTGCTATGCGGTAAAATTTATTGTGAAATGGACAAAAGTGAAATGTTTACAAAGCATTAGAAATTGTGCCAAATGATACAAATGCATTGAGGCAACATAAAATAACCCTTAACAGGATAATATTTTATTTATAGATCATATAATATTAAAATCTGGATATAATCCGGATTAGAAACTGGATAACCAACCAATATTTGTTTATACATCCGGATTAAGAGAATTAAAACAAGATGTCTATCCGGATATCCGGTTTTATATCTGGATCCAAGCACTAATAAGTTAACAACAAAGTATTAATAAGCTGATAATAAACTAATTATAAGTTAATAACAAAGTATTAATAAGCTAATAATGAACTAATTATAAGTTAACAACAAAGTGTTAACAAAATATTAATAAGCTAATAATAAGTTAATAATAGATTAATAGCAAGTTAATAATAAGCTAATAACAAATTAAAAATATTTTTATAATATTTTAATTATATTATTATTTAATTATGTATTTATTAATTTTTTATAACAATTAGCTAATAATAAGATAATAACAACATAATAACAAGCTAATTAAAAGTAAGTTAGAAATAACTTAGTAGAATAAAAAAGATTTTAATTATATTTTAATTATATTTTTGTACTTATTAATTTTTTATAACAATTAGCTAATAATAAGATAATAACAAAATAATAATAAGCTAATTAAAAGTAAATTAGAAGTAACTTAGTAGAATAAAAAAGATTTTAATTATATTTTAATTATATTATAATTATATTTTAAGTATATTTTAATTATATTCTTATCAGAACTCTTTCTGACGATCACTTGGACCAAATTTTCTAACAAAAAGAAAAGTCTTTTTCGATACTGGAGAGTAGTAACCTGTAGTGAGGTGAATTCAACAAGGTGGTTTTTATAAAGGTTAACCTTTCTTTATTCTTGGGAACTCCTTTATATATTCACAAGCCAAAAGCGTCTGTATACAAGATAACTGGCAGAAGATAGTGCCCTTGTATACGAAATTTTGGTGAATAGGTGGAGGTGATAGAAGTCCAAGCCTTCTGTCAACAAAGCTATCAGTTGCGAAACAACTGGGGAACGGGCTTCTTTTAAGCCGCACTCCCTTTTTCTGGCCAAGTGGTGCCTATTATCTTTTTCTCGCTTCCCTGCCTTTCTTCCAAAATTTTTCAACAAAAAGTGGAGATTTGGCTTACCCCCTCAAAAGATCGGCATTGTTTACTTCCCAAATATTGCTTTAAATAATTGGTCATGAGTATTTATATCTATAGAGGGTAAATGAATGATCATAAAAGGTTG